CAGACTATTACAGAGCACTCATTCAAGCCTCTCTTCTCCCATAAGCAGCAAAGAATGAGGCATGCATGGTCTATTAACTGACATACATCGACATTAAACATTTGGAAGTGCTACTAAGCTCCCAAGCTCTCTAGACATGCCTAACCCCACAGCAGGAGAGAAACAGATGCTTCTCTTCCTGTTCCCCCTCCAACTCTCCTTGTGCTGATAAGAAACTTGGATATATTTGTGCAGTAAGAGCTGCAAGGTCTTCCAACAGATGAGTGTGGGTGTGAACTATGCTAAGTAAGCCCCTGCTTAAAGTCTCCAGCAATGATGTGTGCTGTTTATGCTCTAACTGGAAGGGTGATAGAGAAAAAGTTGAATCTAGCTCTAGGCTTGATTTCAGCAAAGGAAAGCTGCAGAGAGCAGACTTTAATTATGAGTTTGGCATGTTTTTATGGACAGCAGGAATATTCTTTAAGATAATGGATGTGAATATAGCTGACAGGAAAAAAAAACTTGAGATGAACACTGGAAAGACTTTTAGCTGCTAAATATTTATAATCTGTGCGTTCAGCATGCCTTCATTTAATAAAAACTGCAATATAAAGAGGAAAAGGCAATTAAAAGCACAAATGGCCAAAAATGGCCAAATCCATCTATGGTTATATTTTAATCTAAGATCCAGGAAAGTTCAGAGCAACTAGTTAAAAATGACTACTCATGATAAAAAAAGCAGAACGTCTGAGCATTGCATGTATCTCATACTGCATGGAAGGTCCTCAGCAACCAGGAGACATGATGTACCAAGTTAATGCAAAGTACTGTTCATTGAAAACTATGAACACATTGCAAAAGTTGGAACCAGCTGTCACAATCAAGGAGCGGGATAAGCTCTTGTAGTGCTCTAAAACTCCGTAAACATCTGTGAGCTCACACTGTGTTCACAGCAGAACACTTTCAGTGACAACAGAATTTGTTAATAGGAGTAAATGTAGCCATAATCACAGGTGGAGCCAACAACAGGGGAGGATTATTTTTTAACTAGTCTGCAACAGAGCAAGAAAAGAAATTTTCCCTTGGAAATCACTTCTTTAAATAGGACTAGGACCAAATACCGACACCTTCCTTTTTCACCTGCCTACATCAGAGTTCATTCAGAGTAAAACAGAACTGAGCATCAAGCCTCAAGAGACCCTGAAACTATTATTTCCTTTAGGATATAATGTATCCCAGAGATATTTTCAAAACATTGCTCCTTGAACTGTTTAGAAAAGGTTGCTAAAGCCAGTTCTTGGAAATTGATAAACCAGAGAACCCTAGAGCCTGCATCTGCTGTCTGTACAAATCAGGAATTACTGAATCACTGAAACTGAGATCATCAGACTAGCAGAGGAGAAAGAAGGCCTGTGTTGTCCATTCTCCCTCTCTTCTTTCCCTGAATCAAACCTGTATTGATGACAAGGGCATGCACGTAAAAACAAACTTACTTGTTCATAATGACTTTTCAAAGAAACAATGACTTTCCAATGAAATATTTTTCCACTTGTTTTTGTTTTTTGGTTGTTTTTTTTCCTCTATGTGCATGCTTATTTTGCTCTTTTTCTTTGTTTGTTTGTTTGGCTTAGTCATAATTCTGTATTTGCTTAATACTATGTAAGTTTGATAAACAGCATGCTAAGACACAGACAGATGTTTTCAGAGGCCTGTTTTGAAGTAATTCCAGTGGATAAATGTGGCAGAATTGTGTTCCTTCCTGTGGTGGAAGAAAAGACCTGGCAGTGGTTTTGACAAGAGCTAAAGTCTAACAAGAGCAAGGGACATTTCTGAATATATCAGGGAAAGACAATAGTTACGAGGGCCCTCTATTATTGACTGGTTTTGAATTACCAAGAAAAAATGTGAGACTAGGGAAAACACAGGAGGTCTTTTCCTGGCATTTCTATTGCTGATCAGTCAAGCTATGCCAGGAGGACTCACACAGTCAGTACCAACTCACCATCTCTTCCTGAAAATACCTTCATTTACACAGGCATAATCACAATTGTGTGACCGGACACACATAGCTTCCCTTCCCGCTGTTATTCAGGCCAATTCACACATTAATTTCATGTTTGTCTTATCAAGTTATTGTAGTGGCTATTGCAGCTTTTCTCTCAACTATTTCTTTTCCTCTGAGATTTCCAGGACTTATTATAACTCTTGTGTTTCTGCTTTGCTGTATTAACTAAGTCTCCATGGCCTCATGCCTGTATCCACTGCCTTCAGCTCTACAGAATTTAGCCAAGGATGTCTATAGAAGGTAGCCAGAAGAATAAATCATAAACCGCATTTCATTTCATACAGTGGAGTTAAATTATTTAAGTAATCCTTGTACTTCTACCAGGACTATTAGCACTATTATTTTAAACAAACAGAGACACAAGGATTTAGTAATAACGCCATTTAGTTTCTCTTAAAAGTTTTTATATTGACATAAAACATATTCTTGGGCAACTCATTCATTCACGCCTTAAATTCAATTGCCAGTAAATTCTGTCATTTTCACAATGTCTTTGACGGTTGTGTCCCTTTGACCCATTCAAGCCATTTTCATGACTCAAGTTTTTATATTGCGGTCTTAAGTTTGTCATGGCACACTAAAATATGGAGGTTTTGTGTAATGCACAGAGAGGGTGTCCTTTGGCCCTGTGAGTCAACATCTGCTGCAGGCCTACACACACAAAAACATTCCTCTGCTTGCAACTCCTCCATCTATTCACTTAGTATGGCAGCTCACTGAATAGCTGAGATGCAGTAGTGGCATTCAGCTTTGAAGAGCATACCATGAAGGGAAAATATTTGGGAGGATATTGTGATGAGAATAGATGCTCATTGGAAGAGATGGAAGTGTACTAAAGGAAAATTGCAGAGGTAGGGCTCCTGAGGCATGGAAAGAGAAGGCTGTTGGAGGATGGAAGAGAAATGGCCCGCTACATACAGGGACCTGTCTGTATTTTCATAGTATTGGAGCAAGTATTATTGTTCCTATATAGTGTAATATTGATAGAAGAAATAATAGACTATATATGGCATGAAAATAAAATTTAAGTATTAGAATTATTTGAAATCATATGGTTTCCATTGTGGTTTCATATGAAATCATAATGGTTTCGATTAGTGAAGCATGAGATGGAAATGCACCATATTTCCAATCTGCCCTTCTAACCCTGTCAGCAGAAAACCCCGCCAGGGCTTTAGCTTAAACTCAGTGAATTAATTTCACACTTGTTCAACTTCTACAGAAGACTTCTGAGTTTTGACAGTATTGGTTTGCCTTTTTTTTTTCTTGTTTCACAGTGTTCCAGCATAATCATATACTTAAGGCAACTGTTCTTGTACAGACAGAATACAGTTCAAAATGCCTCAGAGAAACTGTAAGGAGAAAAAAACTGTTGATTAACTTTAGTTTCCATGGAAATCCTTCACAATGTTTTTGGGTTTGTACGTGGTGAACATCATGCGTGAAATGCATATGTGCCATGGCTGAAGGTAGCTTTCTCACTTTCTTCAGGCACATACATTCACTTACACTTATAACAAGAATAACTTGAAAAATTTTGCCAGATTCCCTCAAATGCGTTCCTGCTTTCCCCTGACAACATATGGGGGACCACATCTCCAGCTGGTCTAAATCAAAAGAGGTTTACTGAAGAATATTGATTCTAGAACAAATTAACTCCACAAGTTCAAAGTAGCACATAACATTTTAGAGGCACTTTCTCAATTTTCCATGGCATTTAATCTGCTAGAAACTGTATCTCTACAGTATACCCTATTACTCCAATCTACTGTGTTAGATTTGTGACCTCTTTTGTGTCCTTACCTCAGGGAAATTTTCACATTCTGATAGCACTGTGCTACTGATTAAATTAGTCTTAATATAACATTTTAACAAGCCCTTGAAAAAACAATTTATGGATTTTCTCCCATCTTGAAAAGCCCATTAAACTACACAAATCACTTCCAGAATCTGCTACGGTCAATGAAGAAACTTTTTGTTCAGTTCAGGAAACTATGTGTGTACCAGCCTCTTTGCCAGCAAACTACTGAAGCACCTATGAAGATGGCTCCTACCAGGCAGAATAAGGGTGGTTCCAAGGGACTTGCGAGGAATTTGAAGAATGCAATCTTCCTCAGAGAATGAGAGAAACGTATGAGAAACCAGAGAAAAGCCACTCCTCTGATGAGAAATAGAAAACATCCCCACATTAAACGGAGTAGGTACTTTTGTGACAGTTCTTTTGAGCTTTCTTCATTGTGTTAACAAACATAAACAGTGTGGAGCCCAAGAGGACAGAGGCAGGACCAATAGCATGGAGTCCCTGAGCACATGAACAATGCCCAATAGTTACAGTAAAGGAGTGTCAACTTCCCAACTATTTTCAAAAACTCTGACAGGCTCAAAGCCTTAAGAGTTTTGTCTATATTAAAAATAAAACCACCTTCTCTTAGCTTAAATTATTCAGGTCAGCCAATACAAAAGGAAAGAGAATGGAAGCAAAATCAAAGATCTTCCCAAGTCAACAGATTATGCATTAGTTAAAGGGACCTGTTACAGCTCCCTGTGTTTTCTTTCTTCTCTCTGTAGTTGTAACAGAAATCCAACATGCACATTTTTGTAAACCACATGCCATTTCTTGTGTAAAGTTAGTGCTCCCAAATTGTATGGCTGTAGAATGATAACCAGGACCTCTGAGTGAAAATTGGCTCTTCCTAAGAGGTAAGTTTTGACAGAAGTCTTATGCAAAGAACTCTTCTGTACAAGAAGGAAAGGCAAAAATAGTAAAACTGAAAAGCAATACATTTTACAGAGGTGTCTTTTAGATGACATATCGTTAAGCTGTGTGGGTCATTGCTATGAAATACATTCAAGAATTGGCCAGCAATAAAAGTAGAATTAGGCATTCATATAAATAGTGAGAACATCCAAGGGTCTTTTTGAAGAGGTAAATTTTAAAGACATATATTATTCTTACCTTAGCTCACAAACTAATGAAACAGCCGGAAGGAGGAAGAACCTTCTGAAATGCAGGTTTTGCCCTTAGCTATCTGTCTGACCTTGCATATATCTTTCTCAGATGCTGGCTCCACTAGGACTGGATACTGAACTGAAGGAGCAATTCTTCCTAGCCCACAGATAAATAAGGAGTTCCTGCTATTATCTCTGGTGTTCTTAGGTATTTTCCTGTGGCCTCTTGCACATATATTACATACTGTTACTTATTGCTGCACCACACCATTCCCAGCGGCTCCTGAAGATGTCATAATTCCAAGGGCTTTTCCATCTGTCAGTTGACCCTGAAGACTCCAGTGAGGGGTCCACAACACAGAGCTACACCAGTTGTTATCAACTCAGTCTGCAAGAGCTCAGCCCATTTCTCCCCTGAGATCTCAGAGGGAAGTGCTCAGCAGAGCAGTGTCTGCTGCTCTGCTCAGCGTGGACAGAACTGAGCTGAGCAGCCACTCACAGGAGCTTCCCAAGATCCGATGGACACCATAGCACACCACAGAGCTGCAATCTGCCAGAATACATAATCATACGCAAAGGGCCATGTCCATGTTAAGGAAATGGGTCCAAACCAAAGCCCATTTGCAAGCCAGCAGTTGTGGAAAACTGAGCTCACGTGCAAATGACCCATCTCTTTACCCCAGACTGAATCCAAGTCTCAGCTGTAAGCACCTCTAAGAGTTGTTCAAACTGGGATCTGAACTAAATGTTGTGGCCTAGGTTTATGTTTAATATTTAGTCACATTGTGCTTACTTTATCACAGCTTGAAGGTCAGTACTACCTTAGGGAGCTTCTTTTTTTTAATTGCTCAGCATCACGCTGTTGGATGGAAAACAATGTTTCTATATCATTGAGATCTTTGGTTTTCAAAATATATTTTTTTTCTCTTCCTTTTTTTTGAAAAAAAAAAATAGAATGACCAAGCAAAAGACAGTGCTCTCATTAAGCAAACAATCAAAATGCTGTTTTTTTTCCTAGAGGAATCAGAGACTGGAAGCCTGAAAGATGCAGTCACTAGTAACTTAAGCTACTACTACTCCAGAGATTATAGTTTTCCAGCAAGAGAAGCACTGGGCCTCTCTGTACATGCATAAGCCGTATCCTCCAGAGGAGCTTAAACTGCAAATGCCAACAAGACTTTCCCAGAAACAAACTGTGCTTCATAGCAGTGTTCCAGACTGCAGGAGGGACACCAGCAGGCCAAAGGAAAATAAGCATAATGACCAAGTGATGTATAGCATTCATCAAAGGCAGCGTTACTGCAAAATGAGGAAAATGTCCCCTCCTTCAACACCCCAATCACTTGGTGCAACGTAGATGCCAAAACCTCCCACCTTTGCACGCAAATCTATGACTATGAGACATAAAGCAGAGGAAAGAGACTAACAACTGGGCTATGACCAACGTCAATAGTTATATCAATCTAAATGTCTCACTAGTTTTTCTGAAGAATAGGGAACAAAGTAAACTCATTCTCAATCCATACAAAGCACTTTTGAAGCTTTCCACCCTGCTGTGGTATTTAGCATACAAATCTCTCTCTTTCCCTGGCACAAGCAAGTAGCAGTGCACTAGTATTGACAGGAGTAATGAGATTGGGAAATACTTTGATTTCTGTCTCACTCCATGCTTTTTCCCTGTTGATCCTCTCCTGATAGTAGGAGGATCCTTATCTATTAATGTTGTGAGTTTCTGCACTATTCTTTTTTTTTTTTTTTTTATCATTTTCGGTGCCAATTCAGTAACTCTGCAAAGCAGCATTATGAAAAAGCTTCTAGAAACATGCCCCCTAACCAAGGAACTGTGTTACTCCTTCAGCTGTTCCCTCTTGCCTTCTTAAATAGAAATGTACCTGCTGTCTACATCAAGTTAATTATTTTGGACTCAATGCACTTGAAGTAGGTCTTCTGGCCTACTGAGATGTGGGTAAACAAGAAAGAAATTCACTGCCATGGTCAAAATGGGTAATAGATAAACTGAGCCCATGACTTGCAAAGCTGCAGAACCCACAGACCCACATCCAAAAAATTGGATGAACCATAAGAAAAAGGAAAAATATTGGTATATGAATTCATGCCCTTCATGTTAAAAACATAATAAACCACTTTCTTTTCTAATCACTTCCTTTGGCAGTGAAAAAGCCACTCTTGGCTGTGTGCGCCGTTGTTCAGACTACTGGATGAAACTGAAAATATGGTTGGGGAATATCAGAGCTCACCCTTGGAAATGCCACTTTGTGCTTCCAGGTCTGTTCTGCACTTGATGCTTAAAACATAAAAAGAAAGGGATTTCCATATCAGAACAGACTGCTGATCCATATATCCAGTAAAAACTTGAGGGATAACCTATCCAGAGAAGGAATGTCTCGCTCACTCCAGACAGAAAGTTCTTGAACTATATTCTGAAGTTCAGGTAGTTATCCAAAATTAATTCAATGTTCCCACTATATAAATATGCTTAATCTCTTCATGCCTGCCAAATTTTGTTCCAACAGCTCATACTACAATCACCCAAAGTAAGAACTTCACCACAAATTTGGACATTTCAGATCCTGATGAGTTGTCCAGACTCATCTCCTGATAAAAAAAAATACAAATAATTAGTTCCAAAGCATGAGTTTACATGTTAACTTACAACAACAGCATCAAAAAGCTTAGTAAAGAGGTAATAGATAAAGCATTAACTCTTAATCAAATAAATGTTTCTTAGTGAAACTGAGTGTCAATGGAGTGCAGAAAGAAAAAGTCCCGATTTGCACTTTGCTTCCGACAGAAAATAGGTTACTACATTTATGAATGTGTTTCAGAGATCTGGTGTCACTGATGGAAAATTACATAATAAGAACTAGAGAAATACTCAGCTTGGATTTAAAAACCTGCACTTCTGGCAAGATTAGTATATTAGTATATATTAATGTATATATTAAATAATATATATAGGTATAAAAGAGAATAGAGTTAATTGCTTCTCACTCATTAATCCAATTACTGGTCAAATGTGTTATGAGAGAAAGTTGGCTATTCATTTAGGATAGGATAGGATAGGATAGGATAGGATAGGATAGGATAGGATAGGATAGGATAGGATATTTCAGTTGGAAGGGACCTTCAACAATCTTCTAGTCCAACTGCTCGACCACTTCAGAGCATTGCTCAAGCATGTTATTAAGGGTATTGTCCAAATGCCTCTTAAACACTGACAGGCTTGGGCCATCAACCACCTATTTAGGAAGCCTATTGCAGTGTTTGACCACCCCATCTGTAAAGAAATGCTTCCTGATGTCAAGTCTTATCCTAATGTCTAGTCAATACGATACAGCATGCATAATCAGACATTTCTGATCACTCTGCAAAACACAAGCTTTCACACTGCATTAAACTTGGTGCTATGTATCAATGCTGTGATAAGCAGAAGAGCCCATCAAATCATGCAAATAGCAAGAGTGATCGGATAGCTCAGATGTTTATATAGAAGAATAACCACTCCCCCTAAGGTCCCCTAGGAAACTCTCCCTCTGAAACTCTGATTTGCATGATAGGAAAGGAATAGGACCCACTTCAATCTTCCATTTCTTTGCAAAAGGAAATAATGTTCCAGGCTTTCCTAGAGACATTTTCTATCCATAAAACATGCTTTTAAAGGACAGAAGATGTCAAAGAAAGTCTCTGAGGTGCAGAAACGATGTCAAAGTGCTACCAAATATCTGTGGGGTGAGATTCCTCAAGAGACATAGTGTCAGCCAGTACAGTACTCTGGCTAGTTGATTCCAGCTGATCTACTTTGGGTTTACTAGCAAATACGTGGTTTGTTTTTTCAGAGATATGAGTTTTGCCTTCCCCTAAAAAAAAATAAATATATGGTTCTCCAAGATGTCCATTCCTTCCAGTTTGCATTTTCATAGGAGAGGTGATCTGATGCCACAAAAATAAAATACCTAATTAGCACTTTTGCTGGCAGGCGAAGCAAAGAGGACAGCAGCTGGTCCAACACTACATCTCTCCCAGCTCCAGGCAGAGCAGCAGCATGGAGAACGGAGCAGCTCTTGGGTGAAGAGGCACCCATTCCCCCTGGAGCTGCCAGTCCTGAACCTGGCACCACCATCTATGATTAGACTTCTCCACACATTTTGCATTTTTAACCTCTCCTTAGCAGTCTGGAGCTCCAGAACCCTGTAATTTAAGCCCTTAGCACACATGCAGTACAGATTTCCTAAGAAACAACTAAAAAACCCCAAAGAGCTGTGGAACAGAGGTGAAAAATTACACCACCCACTTACAAATAAGTAGGTAATAGCTACACTTTCCTGGAAGGAAAGCCTAAAATGAAGGTATTACATTAATCCAAAGACTGAGCGTTCAGACTTCTCAGAGGAGACATCTTTGACTGCCACAGTGGGCAGGCTTTACTGGGGAAACTCTCCCAGTCCTGACAGACAGACAGAAATAGAGTAAAAACAACAAAAAAAAATCTTTTAACTAGTAGTTAAAAAAGATTCTTTCCAAAAGCTCCCTTCAGGGCTGTATACAGGAAAAAGAGTACTGGTGTGCTATTTAGCACCACCTTGTGCTGACTTCTCCGTTGCAAAGGAATGAAGTCAGGAGAGAGAAACACATTCAGTCTTAGCAAATAAATGTACAAGATACTGGGTAAAACAATTTGGTCTTTGGTCTGGGTTTGTTAGATTGGTTTTTTTCACACCAGCAATTTCAGAACAGAATCATTAGGAGCAGAAATTTCCAGAATATGCCATTCTTTACTGTTATAGGATTTAAAAATTAAAACAACAAAAAAACCTCAAAGTGCGTTGAAGTGTGTATTGATCAGGAATAAGAGGAATTTTTAAAAAATATATAATAAATTCTTACATATTTAAAAAGCAAATAGATTATTATATTTACTACACTGCAGCTGTGTCTAGCCTAAACTTTTATGAGAAGCATCTAGTGAAATTAGAAATACTAGCTGTTTAGAGAATCATTTGAGTTTACTTAAATTAACTGCATTTGTAAAAATGTGAGAGGGAAAAAATCTGGTTTTGAAGTCTGCACACTGCAGGGTTAATTTGTGAGGGCTGCAGCTGATCTCCCTGTGGCCATG